CATTTGCAATAGTAGACAACCCAAGGTATTGCAAACAGGGTATGTCCAGTCTTTTTTAGTAGCCACTTAGTCACAAACACTGGCCAAAATTGGCGTTTTTTGCATTTTTCACACACAAACAAATACTAACGCCAACTTTGGCCAGTGTTTGTGACCAAATGGCTACTAAAAAAGACTGGACATACCCCATTTGCAATACCTTGGGTTGTCTACTATTGCAAATGGTATGCCATTATGGTGTAAATTTCATTCCTGGGCTACTATACAGTCTCAAAGGCAACGTAACCAATCTGGCGAATTTCAATTTCAAATGTAACATGCTATATTTGACCCTGTAACTTCCCAAAACGCCATAAAACCTGTACATAGGGGGTACTGTTTTACACGTGATACTTTGCTGAATACAAATATGTGTATTTTATGGCAGTAAAAGCAAACAGTATTATGACATTCACAGTTAAAATGTCATGTAGAACTAAAAAAATAAAAATAAAATCTTATTTTCTCCCATTTTTCATATTAAATTATGTTTCATAGCTAAATATTTGATATTAAATGAAAGCCCTGTTTCCCCTGAATAAAATGATATATAATAAGGGTGGGTGCATTTACTATGAAAGAGGTGTATTACGGTTGGACAGACATGTAGCGAAAATGCCAGGTTTTGTTTACATTTTGTTTTGTTCACAATGTGTACATTTGGCTCCACATTAAGGGGTTAATAGTCACCTGCACACACAGATATCCCCTAACATAGCTAAAACTAAAAACAAACTAAAAACTACTTCCAAAAATATTCAGCTTTGATATTAATGAGTTTTTTGGGTTCATTGAGAACATGGTTGTTGTTCAATAATAAAATTAATCCTCAAAAATACAACTTGCCTAATAATTCTGCACTCCCTGTAGCTTGTACAATAAGTCCCCCATGTAGTCCCCTCTGGGACTGCCCCTGGGAAGGGACTCAGGAAACCCCTTGCATGGGGACTTGTATAAATTGTGGAGCTGAAATAAAAGACCTCAGTTGACTCTCAGAACTTGTTTCGTCCGGTTACTGGGAGATTTGGGATATTGCCTTGCTTTTTCCAGCGCTTGACTGTGGATTACTTCCTGAACCAGTGGAATTCGTGGATTTAATATTGGCGTTCCGTTACAGTAACTAATAAATAGGAAGCAAAATAGAGTCCAAAAGTAGTAGAGTAGGGACAGATTAGAGGGTAACCCTTGGTTGGATAATACAATGTAGAAGGAGAAATCTCTCCCAAGACAAAGATAAAACTTAAATGTTTATTGGTAATATACTAAAAATAATGACAACACACGTTGTTACAAACTGCCATTTGTAACTGTTATTTTATTTGACAAATTGCCCTGCTTCCCTGTGTTATGGAGAAGCCTAATTGCCAGCTTTCTGCCCCATGACTATGGACCTAGTGTGTATGGCGATTTGACTGTATTTGTGGGATCTGAGCGCTGTTTGGATATATTGAGCGCTCAGATCCAAGCCATCTGGGGATAGGTTGAATGTGGGGGTTCTGTTCAGTTCAATAGGAGTTATGTATTTTTGTGTCTTTTTGTGTCTTTTGCTAACATGTGGTTAATGGAGTCTGCCTCTATCCCTGGATAATTGGATTACTTTCCCCATTGTCCAGGATAGAGGCCTCTGTAAAACCGGTTTGGGCCAGAAAACCATGCTGCCAGCCAGGCCCCAAAAGACACTTTTTGCTAACTTTTGAACCCCTTGTCTGATTTGTGCCATTTTTTAATATGTTGCTCCCCTGAATGGATTGATTCTAAATATGTAATTTTATGAAGATTGTATGTGTAGTTTGAAAGTTATAGTACATGTATAAAAACTGTATTTTTACTGCCTGTGTTTAATTATGTTAACCCATTGTGTGCCATAATTAGATCACAGGCAGAGGGGAGGATTTTTGTGTGTAATTGCTGGGAGTGTTTCTGTAATGTACGTTTATGATTGGTTATTCTGTAAACCCCTGTGGGTGGTCCTATCTCAGGGAAACCTGCATAAAAGAAGGCCCTTTGGTGCCAAGTAAACAGATCTTCTTGACCCTCAATACGTAGCCTTGTCTCGTTATTGGAGGGAACTGCTATATCACACTGGGGATTGCTATGCTCTGCATACTCCCCTGAGCTTTTAATCACTTAGCTCTTTTAAGAGCTGTTCCTGTTACGCTCTCCTGGAGGAGAGGTCTTCCCCACACGGTCCTGGAGGACAGAAGCTGATCCAGGGTGGAAGGAAGACGGCGAGACTCCAGTTAAGCTACGGCGGTTGTGGAGTCTGCGGTGGTTGTGGTGTCGGCTGCAGTGTTTGGAGTCCTCAGGAAGCGCTAGGAGCATCCATCAACGGAGGGTACTCGGTCGGAGTACAGGGAGCTCCGTTACACACGTTTTTATAACTAAATAAACCTAGTTCTAAGACTTGATGAAGGGTACAACAGGAATGTTTTATTATGGCCAGATGGCCCAGTTTTATTCACTGACCCTTCACAGAGTTCTCCAGCAAAAGTATGGGAAAACACGCCCGGGCTTCTCTGTCTCTGGGAGATAATGGAGTGTATTTTACTTAAACTAATTATCTCCCAGGCACTAGAGATACAGAAAATAAAACATAAAATACCCCAAAACATACATAACATTAATAGGGACCCCAATAAGTCTTATATCACTGGATAGCTTGGATCTGAGTGCCCAAAGTGTACAAATAGCACTCATATCCCACGAATAGAGCCGAATTGCCACAGGGGTAAGTTTTAACCAACTGCACATGTGGTGTCTGCCCAAAATAGTTCCAGAAGAAAAGTGGTAGCGCTTAGTAACTTTCGGCAGTCCCAAAACAAATATAATACCGAACGGTTCCCCTGGCTCATAGGTAGCGAGTGTTCTTCTAGTTCGTGCATACCTTTTCACTGTATAGTGCTCTCCTGGCTTGTTGGGAATAGAAGCAGATGGTGGTACAATGTTACTGGTGTTTGCGATTTAGAGTGTCCGGCTTAGAGTTCCAGACATTCGATGACCAAGTACTGCTGTCTGTGTTTGGTAGACAAGATGGCCCAGAGAGAGCACTTAACTTTGTGGTTACTTTGAAGATAATGAGCCAGGGGGTGGTCTGCATTCGGTAGATCCAACCACCGAATAAATATCAAACAACAGGGGAGGGGGGAATCACAGGGTTTTCCAGAGTAGTTTGTCACATTGCTCCCCGCCAGGTTCCACGGTGTGGCAAACCCACCTAGACCCCGACGGGTTGGCTTGACGATGTCTGGGAAGGTAGATTAAGGCTCCAATTCCGTTTGTCAGGATAATCCATCTGCATTACCATTCTGTTTACTTGGCCTGTACTTCATTGTAAAATTATATGGTTGGAGGGCCAGGTTCCAGTGCAGAAGGCGGGGGCTATCTCCGGCTACTCGGTTTACCCAGATGAGGAGGTGGTGGTCCGTCATTAAAGTAAAGGGACATCCATAGAAATAGGGCTGCAGTTTTGTGAGGATATTTATGGGGATTAATTATTAATTCATTTCCAATAATTAAAAATAATATTTCCATAAAAATTATTAAAATGAATAATTTTTATTAAAATATCAGGGGTTGTTGACATTTTATTGGCGCTATTCCCATTTATTATTTAAAGTGAAGAGTTACTCACTATTTTAACTCTTTTTAGACCTGGAGTACGTTACTTGAATTTAATATTTCATACATTAATATCACAACTTTTTATAAAAATTATATTTATTTTTGTCAATAAGTGTAAATATACATGGCAATTAGTGAATAGTTTTCAATAATATTGAACAAGATATGGCAAAGTACAGTATCACAATCTCAGTAGCAATTTCAAACTCTTTAGAGCAGTGGTTCTCAAACCAGTCCTCATGGCCCACCAACAGTCCAGGATTTATGTATTTTTTCCAATGGAGAAACTGTTTTATTCCAATGGAGATACTAACAAAACCTGGACTGGTTTGAGAAACGCTGCTTTAGAGTGATGGGATTGTTAGTTCATGACACTTTCAATCAACCGAATTAACATACGGAATATGTTACATCAAATACAATTGATTGAGACAATCAGCAAATAGAATATTACTATTTGTTAAATTATAAGGATCCATATTAGTTTATCAGCATATGGATTATTATAATTTAAAGACAGATGTTCAGTGTGGATTGTTTGCTTAATGAAAACAGCATTATTATTATCACCATTTATATAGCGCCAACAGATTCCGTAGCGCTTTACAATATTATGAGAGGGGGGATTTAACTATAAGTAGGACAATTACAAGAAAACTTACAGGAACGATAGGTCGAAGAGGACCCTGCTCAAATGAGCATACATTCTATAGGACAGAGTTCTTTATTTACTCAGGTGATCTATACACAAGTTCTACTGACAATGTTTTATCCGCTATCCACAGAATTTTAACCAGCTCAGTGCTGACAAGTCAGTTCAAGCTTTTAACTCATACAGGATTTTAACTAGCTCACTGCTATTTCACAGAGTAATTAATTATGGTTACATAATTCATTCAGTAACTAAATTCTTGCAGGTTTAGTTAAAACAGTTCTTATCGTGAGCTATCAGGAAACCCAATCTGGGGGATTCAGATCAGTTTTTACCCAGAAAAATACTAGCTTTTAGTTATGTAATTTTATAATTAGTATAATTCGCTTATATTTACCGATAGATGTTCTGGATGGTTTTTTTAAGATTGTTTCAAAATGTCTTCTAGATTGTCATATAGGGATTTCAAGAGATCGTCTGAGTCTTATGATTTTGATTTAAGATCTGATGAGAAGATCTGTGATATCTGTGAAGATCATTCTATTCCTATGTCATGGGGTTATATATCATTCCTTATATGTTAACCTTCTGACCTGGTCCAATGTAATTTTGGGACAAGTCTTTATTTTAATGTCTGTTGATGTCATTTTGACATATATTTCTATATGTTTCAAACAGCAGGTGTAGCTGTTGGTTTACGTCAGGAGCATTACCAGCTATTATCATATAGGGTTAATCCATGTTCAGGACAATTTAGGAATGTTTAATTTTAAGATGCTTTAGTCAGCATTTCTTTTTTCTATTTGGACTTTGGTTGTTCAACCAATTTCAAGATTTTTTTAAAGTAGTCTTACTTAATTTATCTATATTGATTACATCTTTATATTCATACGTTTCTATATATGTATAGGCTGCTAACTAAGATATATCAAACTATATCTATTTTTGTATATAATTAAACTCAATTTATATACCTTATAGCAATATATGTGTGTTTCCTGAACAAGTGTTTTTTTTTTTTTTAAATTAACACATACTTGTCTTATCTTTATTGACACAGATGTATTTACTCACTGTCTGGCCCTTTGGCTGACAGGGTTATACTTGAGAAAACATCTAGTTTCTTCCTTTTAGCACCTCATGGCATATTAGCTAAATTGCATTTTTGATATTATGCACATATTAATTTTATCACACAATATTTGTGCTCGGAATTTCTAATACGTAAATGAAATGTAGAGGAGAAGCAAAGTTGGTTGAGGTGTGAGCTCCCTTTCTGGTCGAAGGATATAGATGTTGTATATTGAGGATTTCCAGCATCCCAGCCTCTTAATGATGTGTACCAGGGTGTTCGTGCTTGAAGCCGATGATGCTGCCCCAATACGAAATGAGTGACCAGAGAATGAAGCTTGGTTGTAGCCCAACCTTGATAGTAGGGTTCTGATGTGTGAAATGAATTTTGCTGTGGTGAGTGGGTGCCCTTGAAGTAGTAGTAGTGGAGTGTCTGGTGAGTGCATGTGGTGAGATAACAGGAGCAAATCCAGAATATGAACTGGGCACCACATATTCTCGGTAGGGAAGAGGGGAATGATAGTAGGATGGGCAGTGTGATTAGTTTTAGTAGAAGGTAAGGAGAGTATGTAGTGGTCATCTATTTTCTTTAAGTGAGAAAGTTTTAGACATTGGGCGGTATCTCCTTGACGTATGACAGTAAACTCTCTAGGTCTGAGGAAACCATAGTAAGCCAAAAAGATGGCGGCTTTAATGACCAGATTAGTATTATGGTCAAACGGGGATTTGTCCAATAGATCGTTAAAAAGCCTGAATATTGGACCATCTATTGGTAATCTAGTAGTACCAGGAGGAACTGTGACCTTGCCAATACCTGTGAGGATTTTCTTGATAGGGTAGGAAGATAGAAAAGGTGCATGGTTAGGGAAGGTAGTGAGGATGTGGTGTTGTACTCCAGTAAGGTAGAGTTTGATAGTATTGTGTGAAAGTTTAAGGTGTAGATGGCAATAGGAGGCAAAAGCCACCATGGTTTTAATGGAAAAGTCACCTTGTAAGTAAAACTCGGCGGTAAATTTGTTAAAAATAGTCAGTGCCGTAGCATAAGTGATCGTGGTGTTGGGAACAGTGCATGGTGTGTGAGTGCTTGTGCGTGCAATAATAGTCCGCTTAAACCAGGATTAGCCGGCGGAATAGTGGTGTCCTGGATGGTTGGAGATGGGCCGGAGGGAGAGCCTGGCCGGAGACCTGAAATTGAGAGCGTGAAAGAGCGTCAGCAGCTGAGTTGTGGGCACCAGACGAGCAAGGCATCCGACTCAGAGGGCCGATGGGCCCTAACCAGTAGCTGCGTAAAAAAGGGTATTACGGACCCTGTGCGTCCGGTTGTGTCTGTGTAAACTGTGTAGAGAGCTCTGAATAACCCTGTACTTATGGTCAGGCGTGTACTAAAACGTGAGTAGGCATGCCCTGTCAGGGAGTACGAATGGTTGGGTAGGGGATGGGTATCCCATCAAGCGAAATGAAGTAGCCTTAGTATATCGGCACCCCCATGCATAAAAGGGGTTAAAGACGTTTAGGAGATATTCCCTTCCAGATACACAGGCAGCTACTCCATACACCAATCCCCCGAACTGGAAACCATACGAATGCTCCAACTCCCGAACCGGAACCATACGAATGCTGTAAACAGCCGAACAGGAAAATCCATACGAAAGGTTTACACTCCTAGCAGTCGAACTGGAACAGCATACAATAAATCCCCCCCAAGAACGAGACAAGGCTCCGTGTTGAGGGTCAAAACAGGAACAGACAGAGCTGTGTTTTTATTGTTCTTATATACACATTCTTACACATTAGTACCACCCACGGGGTTTTGTGGAACATCCAATCAAACACGTAATATATGTTTAATATACAATGAACACTCCCATTCATTCCAGCAAAACCCTCCCCTCTGCCTGTGATATAATTACTGAACACAATGGGCTAACGTAATTATTACAGGCAAGAAAATACACAGTTTTACACAATATTCATAACTTTAAAAGTATACATCACATTCACATCAGCATACTCCAAATACAAACATACTCAAAAATCAGACAATTCCCTCCAGTGATTTAAAAGTTAGGTTGAAAGTCCTTTGTGACCACTGAAGCATGGCTTTTCCAGCCCAAACCAGTTCCACCGAGTCCTCTATCCTGGAGATAATTGGCTTAACTGGGTGTGGTAAGCCAACTATCTCCAGGTACAGAACAACAGCAAAAATACATAATTCCTATCATACTGAACAGAACCCCCACATTCAACCTATCCCCAGATGGCTTGGATCTGAGCGCTCAATATATCCAAACAGCGCTCAGATGCCACAAACACAGTCAAATCACCATGGGGTTTAGGTTTAGCATGGGCTGATGAGAGGGGCCATAGTCATGAGGCAGGAGGCTGGCAATCAGGCTTCTCCATAACACAGTGGCGAGGTTAGTTTCACCACATTTAGAAACCAACAGCCTCAGCCCCAAGGGATAATACTTGAAGCGAAGCCAAGGGGTTCTAGTGAGGACCGGGGCCCCTCTGCCCCGCCCGTACCACTCCGGGGGAACTGGACTATACGTCCCCGTTGATGAGTCAGCTTTACTGAGGCAAGCTGGCCTGCAAAGTTAGTTCGTAAGGCTATGGCAAGATACGAGCTTGGCATAGGGACGAGTGTTTGGTGACAGAGGGACCAAGTGTGAAGGGATAGTAATTGAGGTGTATGATATACCTGTCTTGCTTAACCATGTCTTCCTACCCGCTGAAATAGTAGGTTGTATGGCCCCCAGTTTGGCATATTACAATAAGAACTACTCGTCGGGTATGAGAGAGATTAATGCTGGATCTGGAGGGGAGAAAGAAAAGAGATACGAACGGTCAATAATAAACTTTGATTAATTACAGTGTAAGTAAGTAGCTCCCCATGATGGGATAGGTACGTTTAGGATGAGTCATAGCTGTACGTGATGCGGGCGTATGCTTGTGGACAAAAGGTGGTCCACCGTACGTGATGCCGTAAATGTGGATAACATCAGAGGTTTAGGTCATGTGATTGAACATGATGGGAAGGTCGTGAGTCCCGTGTGAGAACCTTTGAGCAAGGACCCGACACCAGATCATTCCCAGTCACTTAGCTGACGGGTCAGGCACATGGTCTTGGTGTGAGCACTGAAGCAAATGGAGCAGATGTTCAACAACCTGCATGCGCTGTAGCTGCATGCCCCCACATTAAAGTTATTGCACACATGCGCCTTTCCCAAGAATGTGATTGGTCTACTCAGCTTGTCTCTTTGGCTGCTTTCCTGTCTCATGAGTGGGGTAAAGGAGTGGTGGGACGTGGAAGGGTCTGCGTCGCCAGGGCACAGGTCAGTGGAGTGAGAAGTGGAACTACATGAGGCACAAGACGGGGGCCTCAAACCAGCAAAATGACGGCAAAACAGTTCAGTATCCATCTGGCACCAGTCAATTCTAATGTTGAACTATGCCAGATGAGTAGCTGCCTTGGCCGAAACTGATTTGTGGTAGTCATAAAATGAGGACCCCCCGTAATTGATGCCCAAATCAACCACCTTGTGCATGCACAAATCAAGCTCTTCTCTCCTATGTTGGTCCACTGTGCAAATATTGTTGCAATAAGTGCCAAATGCGATGACAAACTGGGGAATGGTAAGTTTTTTGTTTAGAGGTGGATCTCTGGCTCTTAAGACTACTGAAATGTCCCCATAGTTATACGCTCTGTTTTCTAGAATATCTTGGGAGGCTATGAGGAGAGACATTAGATTAACATTCTTTCCATCAAGAATATCCTTCTTGATGGCAGCTGGGACAGAGTGGGCTGGTGAGACATATAGGATATTTGGAGTGGTAGTGGCTGGTGGGGGAGGGGGAATGGGAATGAGGGGTATGTCAATCTGAGCAGTCGATGTTACCGCTGTAGGGCCTGCTGGGGCTGTTGAGTCACCTGGTGTGGCTATGGCCGATTCCACCTTCAGCAACCTGCTGTTTATGGTTTGGAGATTGACCAGTATAGCAGCCAGAGTTTCCTGAGTGGAATCAGAGTAGCCAGCTGGAGGCCCTTGTGAACTCGTGCCGGGCCTTGGGTCGTTGGCCTGAGCCGTCAGAAGTTTGTAAAGTTCGGCCTTTCTAGCAGTGGCAGGAAAGGGGATCCCCCTGAGCCTGAGCTCAGCCGATATTTTAGGAATAGTCCAATATCTTAGGGATCTGGGGGTAGAAGGAGTGAGGGATTCCTCCGGAGACCCATGCCTGACTGGCGTGCTGGGTACATCGTCTGATGGCAGATCGATGGTCGGATCTTGAGACATTCTGAAAAAGGAATAATGATTTGGATAAGTAGGGTGTAGTGGAGGTGGGGATGAGACCTCCGTAGAACTAGCCTGCTAGCTAGTGCTGAGGCGAAGAGTTTACCTAGAACCAAGTGACAGGTGAAGCCCTGCTAACTCCTCCCACAAATTCAACATATGTATTTCCTTCCTACACAATATATCTGACAGTTTCTTTAATGCCCATACAAGGGCCAGGCACTCTTTCTCCACGGTGGCATAGCTAACTTCTCGGAGTAAAAGTTTTGTGCTGAGATATGCCACCGGGTGTTCTAGTCCGTCGTCCCCCACCTGGCTTATCATGGCTCGCAGCACAAACATGGAGGCATCTGTGTGGATGAGAAACTTTTTAGTATGGTTTGGGGCGGTCAACACAGGTACTTCGCTTAAAGCTGACTTCAGTCTTTGGAAGGCGTCCTCGCACGCCGTGACCATACTACCTGTCTGGGAAGGGACTTTTTGGTAAGGTCAGTGAGGGGCTTGGCTAGGGCACTGTACTCAGGGACAAACTTGCGGTAGTAGCCAGCTCACCCTAGAAAACCTAGTACCAGGGTCTTGGTACAGAGTTGGTGCCAGTTTGCAATAGCCTCTACTTTGGCTGGTTCGGGCCGCTGGGGGCTTCAATGCAAGCCCCGCTACCCGAATTCTCTCAAGCACCCTAGATAAGTATTGAAGGTGGTCCTCCTATGTGTGGCTGTAGATGGCGATGTCATCTAGATACGCACATGCAAAGTCCTGAAATCCCTCCAAGAGTTGGTTGGCCATTCGCTGAAAAGTAGCCAGGGCATTCTTCATCCCAAATGGCATAACCTTAAACTGGTAAAGCCCAAACAAGGTGACAAATGCCAAAGGGGAATTTTCCATCAAACCTTGCATAGATCTATGTTGGTTAAGTAATTTCCCCTGGCTATACAATCTAGCAGCTCATCTATCCGGGGCATAGGGTAGGCATCTGTGACAGCCCTGTCATTAACTTTCCGGTAGTCGATACAGAAGTGAGTAGTACCGTCTCGCTTAGGTACCAGCACTACCGGAGAAGCCAGGGGCTCTGAGACGGTTCTATGACCCCTATCTTTAACATGTCTTGAATTTCTTTCAACATGTTCCCCATAACTGCTTCAGGGATACGGTAAGGCTGCTGCCATAGTGGGGATTCTTCCTGGGTCTCTACGCGGTGGACCGTCGCGGAGGTGTACCCTGGTAGGGTAGAGAATATTTCACTGTATCCCTGGAGTAGCTGGCCAGCCTCGGCCTTTTTTTTATTGGGATCAGTTTTCCCCCCAGGCTGACCTGCTCTACACTTCCCAGGGCCGTTGCGAGCAGGTCAAGTAGGGAAAGGTTCTCACTATCTTCGAAAAAGGGGGCGCATACCGCGGCCACTTCCTCTGTCCTCTCGAAGTATAGTTTTAACATGTTCATCACGTGAAAGGATCGTCGTATCCTTTCATCTGAACATTTCCCTACGATGTAAGTAGTGTCGATTATGCATTCCACTACTCAAAAGGGTCCTTGCCAGGCAACCTGAAGCTTGTCCTTTTTGGTCGGCTTCAGAGCCAATACTTTCTGTCCTATTTCTAGGATCCTATCTCGTGCTCCCTTATCATACCACCTCTTCTGGCGTCGCTGGGCCACCTGCAGATTCTGCCAAACAAATTCACTGAGAGCTTGCAGGCGGTCCCTTAACCCCAGGACGTAGGGTATAATAGGGATTCACCCCTCTCCTGTGTCACCCTCCCAGTGCTCTCGTATGAGGTCCATGGGTTCCTGTACGTTTCTCCCATATAGAAGTTGGAAGGGGTAGAACCCTGTGGACTCCTGGGGCACCTTGCGGTAGGCAAACAGGAGATGGGGAAGTGAACGTTTTAAGCATCTGTTTCAGCGTGCCATTAAAATGTTTACAGAGTCCATTCGTCTGGAGGTAATATGGAGAACTAAACAGGGGTTTGACTCCGCAACTCTGCCACAATTGCTGGGTAAGTTGCCGTAAATTGGGTCCCCTGGTCAGACAAATCTTAGGAAAACCTACTTGGGTAAAGATTTTAACTAATGCTTCAGCATCTATGTTGGTGAGTGCTACTGCCTCTGGGTACCAGGTAGACATGTGCAATTCGTTTCGGTACAAATGCGAATTCAGACGAATTTCGGGAAATTCAGACATTCGGGTACTTCCGAATGTCCGAATAGCTAAATTGCCGATGTTCTGAAGTCCTGAAATTGCTGAATTTCCGAAGTGTCAAAGTGCTGAACTGAAGAAGTACCGAAGCACAGTATTGCCTAAGTACTAATATATACCCAGTGGAAGAATGAAGAATGTTACACTGTATACAAGTTAAAATAAAAAGTATACAAACATAGCCAGGATTCATCTGTAAGCATTTGCAACACTTACAACAATCAAGTAACACACATTCATATAAAATGTAAATTACTTAATAGCCAGTCAATGGAATGACAGGAATGAATAAGTAGATAACTCCCTAATTCCCACGGTATTAGGGAGCTTTCTACTAAAAGGCTGACCTATATTGGTCTTTCAGCCAAATTTACTAATACTAATACTAAGTATTAGTAAATGATGCCCCTATTCACTATACCACGAGGGGCATGTCTATTAAAAGGCATAACCTTAAACTGGTAAAGCCCAAACAAGGTGACAAATGCCAACTTAGGAATGGCCTCTGGCTCAAGGGGAATTTGCCAATAACCCTTACATAGATCTATGTTGGTTAAGTAATTTCCCCTGGCTATACAATCTAGCAGCTCGTCTATCTGGGGCATAGGGTAGGCATCCGTGACAGCCCTGTCATTAACTTTCCGGTATTC